TATGGGGCCAGAAAAAATAGAAAATTTTATACAAAAATGATAATCTGACTCCTCTAAATTTAACCGACCTCCATCAAATAAATAATTTTGCTTCAAATCAACACTCCTCTTTTCCTTCTAGAAAATCTCTCATTATGTGACACAAAAAAAATCACTTTCCAAATACAGTAAAATATAGTATTAGAAACTTTGCGCTCTTCATCATTTCATAGGCATCTTCAAAACAAATAATTGATACTAAGCTAAGTAGGATTTCTATCTAGGAAGAAGAGCCTCAAAATAAAGCCAATGTTTCAAATAAAGCATTTAAATAAAACCAGAGATCTAGAAGCTTGTACTAGAAGCACTGTATTTTAAGAATGCAGTTAATGTATGCAGCAGTTGTTCCACCTGCTCTGCAAGTATAATATTCATTTGCCTAATAGATTCTAAATAAAAACTGCAATCAGTCACCACAGAAATTGCACATCATTACATAAGAGACAGCCATTGATTACCAGATGCAAACATTGAACTGGATTTCTACTTTTGTTTTTCAAATAAGATAGTTTTTCATTCTTATATCCTACCTAAAATCTAGAGCATTTCCCAATTTTTTAAGGTTCTAAAATTACAATTCAATCACRTATTATACTAAAATGACTTCAATTACTATCTATTTTTAAGGATATTTTTGATGTATGATTCCCATTATTTTAATTACAGGGCAGAGGCACAAATCTGTTTTTGCTTCACTTCCCCCATCCAATTATATGATCTACTCTGTACATTATTAGCAGTTTTCTTTTTTTTGCAGAACTTCAAGAGGTAAATTGTTCTCAAATTGCAGCAGAGAATATTCAAAATTCATTTTTTTTTTTAAGGCTACAGAACTTCTATTCCTTTTTGAAACAACTCTTTTTTTTTGTAAAACCAAGTAACACTTTTACTCAATTACTATATCTTGAACTATAATTTTTGCAAAGTTAAAATCTGCTTTCTAGTGGCTTATGAAAACAAATGCCAGTAATATCATATGGAAACATACCAGTCATTCATCTAGTTCAGAGGCTTGACTCTGCCTCAATAACTTGATCATATCCTTCAGAGAATGGCCCAAAACTCCATTTTCAGTTGTGAAGAACTGTACTGTAAAACTCTTTCCTCTGAGCTCAGTTAATTCTTTTATCTTCCAGCTGGCAGTGATGAYGGTCTCTCATGATTTTCATTCCAGCTACAACTGTTTAACTAGTATTTTTTGTTTGCTTGTTTTTCTTTTCRTTGTAGTGGAATTTTATTTTTCTTGTAATTAATTTCCAAATGTTTAAAATAAATCCATCCTCTTCAAGTGTTTTTTTTAGTAAGGAATAAATGAAAGTATCAGACATGTAAATGTTAAACTTTGTCATATCTGCCCCTGTCCYTCTCAAAATGAGTTGGGACCTCTCCTGCCACATAACCTGGAATTTCAACAACTTCAGGAAGATTCRGTCAAGGCAGAAAGTTTGGTGTAAAGAGAATATTTTACAAAGTAMGGCCTAGAAATCCTGACTCTTTTGTGCTTGTAAACCTGTATACTGAGTATAAGCAGAGGGTAAAACAGGTTATAATAGATTAATTCCTCACCCTCAAACATTTCTAGGCCCAGAACAGGTCAAGGGAAATGGCTTTTATTTCAGTCACATCCAAATGATGCTTCCTCTCCTTGTGCCTCAAAACTACAGCTGAAGACTGTAAGGAGAAATCACCTAGAGATGCCAGCCTGTAGGAGGAGCAACAGCCAAAGTGGTGACATTATAGTCCAAAGTTTGCCTCTTTCTTCCCCAGTGAACTCATCTTGTCTACTTGGGTCCTAAATTCTCCAAAATGAGGTCCCTATGCATGTCCCTATGCAAGGGTGGCCACTCTAGGCTACTTCAGTGTGGTCAGTCAGATCTCTACTCAATTTCTACAGCTCTGCAAATGGCATTAATACATACAATGATAAAGCTATAGAAAATTTCAAACTGCAGGTTAAGCTTTTGCATTTATTCATTTTTCTTGCAGAAAGAACATCTGTGAAAACAAGTAAAATTGCAAAGAATAGCCTTTTTGGCTAAGTTAATTTGTTTAAAACCTGGAACATGGAAAACATGGAAGAGCTAAGAACTACTAAGAGCTAGAAAAAACTGAAGCAATCTTACCAACCAATTAATTTTAGACGAGTACTCATTAATATATTATAGGAAAACCTACTCTGCCCTACCAGATGGAAAAAGAAATAAAGAGGAAAGGCTATTGCTATGATGTTTATGTAATTTAGAAATACTGATGAGAAGATGCCCAGGTATAACAGAGAAGACAAAATATTTGGGATTCGAAACTTGAAACTTAGAGCTTAAGTAATACAGACACTGAATTACAAATAGGCAAGAAAGTAGGTAATAATAAAACAAAACTAAACAAGTAAATAGAAAAAAAAGAAAACTTTGGCAGTGCATACAGCTTTCTCAGTTTCTAAATATTTAATAATGTAAATTCAGGAAAAATACTTACATTTACTAATTTTTCTTGGGTAACAGAAACATGGCATCTCCCTAGTCTCTTTTTATGTATTAATGTAGGGTTTTAAACAATAGACTTTACTTACTTGTCATAGTCYGGCAATCTCAAATCTTCTTGAAAAAGCGTATCATATCCACAGTGGGAAGAAGGGTTGACTTCACCTCATTACCCTAACATGATGTTGCCATAAACTGCCAGAGAAAAACAGAACTTAAGTGCAGAGTTCCTGAGGGTTCTAACAGGTAAAAAGGTGGCCTGCAACTTAAGTTCCACCTGCACACACACCTGCCTCCCACACAGAGTGTTTTAATGGAAAAAATAGGTTCAAGACTTCTATCAATTTAAACAGCAGTTTAGACTGCTATTAGTTCCTCCTGTGCATACTGAGCACATCAATACTAGAAATTTAAGCTTGTGTATGTAGAAAGCTGTTAAGTCACTTAATATCYCTGGAAGCAGGTACCTGAACTCAAATTTGACCTTAATATTACTGTAAATACCTGATTGCAATCATACCTGATTGCCTCACAGTATTTCATTGTCTAAATCTTTAAGTTTTATACCTAGCAAATCTGCTTTGATTCACTTTTATAAATAAGCTAATAGCTCAGAGATCTTTAATGTAGGTAATGTGTTAAAATTAAAGTTTTTTTTTTTAAAGAAAACATGCATGTTCCTAAATGAGGAATAGATGATAAAAGTTAGCTGCTCCTAACTTTCTTTAGTTTTGTCTCAAAATAAAAAKTCAATATTGTTTATTTGAAATTTAAGCAAATGTATGACGGATGAAGTTTATACTGAAAGCAAGATTATCTGTAAAGCTATAAATCTAGAAGCTATGCAAACATAGATCAGTTCTTAAACCTCTACAGCTTTTTTCTTTCTAGAAAGCCAATAAAAGGCAAACTAGATATGTGACTATTTGGATAAAAGAAATCYAGCTAATTCTTTCCAGTAGGAGAAAAAATGGTACAAATTACATTGAATARGTATATTTTTGCTTATAAAATCACCTTTCAAGTTTGTGTTTCTTAGAACAGAAAGTTCCTGTTTCAAWCTGGCATTACTTTAGTTCTAGTACGTTTCCAGAAGAAAACAGATAAAACTTTTGAATTACTGTTTTCAATTGGGTGTACATTTCTACCTTAAGAAGATTTTAAGAACAAAGAAAAGCAATAATTCCATTACGAAAATCTTGCAATTATGAAAATTTTGCTATTGTATAATTTCCTTTTCAGAAAGAAAAGGTAAATGACTTACTGCAAGTACTTTTATTTAGAATCTCTCTCTTTGGCTTAGGTAAGGTACATGCGCAGCCATTGCTTCCCCAAAGGGCCATACAAGTGCTTAAATTCACCAGGAAAATCCAGTTTCTGGACACGTTAGCCTGAAACTCAAATTAGCATGGGGTGGAGAAGAAAAAAAAAAAGAAAAAAAAAAGAAAAAAAAAATGGCTGAGCTTTGCCAAACTGAGTAACTAGGAGAAAGTAACAGAACAAAAAATGTGGAAAGTAACTGAAAGAAAATTGTAGAGGCCATGAAAACTCTTTCAGTGACTGGAAGCCATTTATCAATCCATAAGCAGCAGAACCACCTCCAACCTGAGTTTTAGATCCTATCTAGCACCTGGATCCAGATGGATCCTCCCTTCTCCAGGACCTGTCGTCAGGATACCCCCTAACACAGGTGAGGCAGGGAGGGAAGGCAGGTGCTTCCAAGGAGGGGCCGAAGTTTTATTTTCCCTTTTAACCCTCTTCTCTAGCAGGCCCCCAGCCTCCCGCCTTCGCCTCCCTCACAGATTTCTGACGAATCGAATCGCTTTCCGCCATGAGCCCCAGCCTGCAGATGGCAGATTCTCACATTCCCAGACCTTCGAGGCACCTTCCAACCCCTCTCCCCCTCGTTAGGRTAAGGAATAAACGACAGGGGCGGTAGTGAGGGCCGTCCGAAGGCGAGGCGGACGGCGAGGGGCCGCCAGGCCGAGCCGAGAGCTGCACCTGCGCAGGCGGCGCTCCGCTGACCCGTGAGGGCAGCCGGCCGCCCAACGTGCCTCTCATCCCGCAGGCCTGGCGAGGGCCGAACCGCCGCTTCGCGCTCTGGGGAGCGGAACCCCATGWGGTCGAGACCAGACCGGAGCGAACCGGCCTGTCCCGCGCTTCAGAGCCGCCGCYCGCAGGAACCGCCCCTCGCACACGCCGCGCCCCGCCCATTACGCCCCTCGGGAGGAGGGGCTGCCGAGAAGCCCCGCCCACCAGCGCAGGGGACTGGTTGGAGCTCGCGTCACTCAGGTCGGAGCCCAACTCCCGCCGTGAGCGCCGCTGAAGCGCCGCCCCCCGGGTGCCGCTCCGTTACCTGGGCTGCTTCTTAGAGGGTTTCCTCGGGCTGCTTGTCTGGAGGAGGGGAGGGAGTGGTGGGGTTAGGYGGTTTGCCTCACGGGAGGGAAGTGTGGCGGTCTCGGGGTAGGGGTGTTGTTTTACTCGCTTTGATTGTTGGTGCTCCCGCTATGGGGCTCCGCAGGAAAAGCAGGAGCCCGCTCGTGCTGAGCCACGAGTTCGTGATCCAGAACCACGCGGACGCCGCGTCCTGCCTGGCCGTGGGTCTCCTGCTGGGGCTCATGTTCGAGGTACGGGCGCGGGCCGCCGGGACGCGGTGCCGCCGGCCCTTTCCCCGCTTCCCTGCGSCCGGTTCTCCYGGGCCCGTCTCGGTGCCTCCCTCGCACCCGCAGCTGCGGCTCCGCGCGCTCCCGCTCGCCCCTCTGCTCGCTCCTTCCCGCGCTTTCCACCTCCCTAAACTCCACTTTACCTGATTCTGTTCCCTTGAGTAMAAAATGTTCTTCCCTGCCTCTTTGCTAAACTCAGGCTCGTGTGTCTCCTGCTTGTGTGTATGTATGTACATATATATGTATATTTATATATTTTTTCCCCTGTGGTGAAGTCCACTGGGTAGGAGCACTGTTGGAAAGATGATTTCAGCAAACCTGTATTTAGAGCAAGCTTAAACTAAGTGTAACCAGGACCTGCTCCCTCTGTTGCTGCCTCAGCCCCTTAGGGATCCGGAGTCTGAAGGAAAAATGCAGGATTTCTCTTTCAGGCTGATTTCCTGCATCCCTGTGCACTTGAAAGTTATTGTAAAGTTTATTTCTATATATATTCTATATATATTCTAAGCCAGCTGCTTGCCAGTTTCTTGGGTGCCAAGAAGGTTCAATTCAGGTATCCTTTTCCTTGTGTGTTGCTGCTCTGTATGTTAGGCCAGTGAGGGGTAGGGCTTTGTAAATGGGTTAAAATATGTCAACTTTCACAGAAACAATTAAATATGTGAAATGCAGATGTTTGTCTTTGGTTTCAAAATAAACTACACATGAATTTGGAACTAATGCGCTACAGGCTTTTAGTTGTCTTTGAATGAGCAAAGCACTTGGTTGTACCTTGGATAAAACAAATTAAATGGGTTATTCCTCTGCATATGTAGAACTCTATACATCTCCTGTGTATGCAACTTTGTAATGAGATTRCCCTGTGTGTCTTTGCTATTAAAAGCAGTACTTTTTCTGGAATTCAGTTTCAAAATTCCATTTGTGTTAGCTCAGTGTTTGTATGAACACAAAAGTTGTACTTCTGTAAGTCTCCCACTACTTGGAGGAACTGTACAGAGCCCCCATCATGTTTTTATTCTGATTATGAAGCTTATTTCTTTTATAGAATGAGGAATGAGTTGATATTAGGTAAACTCAAACATAATTAGCAGGAAATTTCATGTCTATTCTGAATAAATCTCAAATTTTTAAAGTATATTTTGTGACACTTATTTTGACAAAATATTTAATATTTCATAAGTGTTACAGACCTTACCCTGCCCAGCTGTTTTCTTTTGCTCTTGACTCCTTTTTGTATTAAAGTGAAATTATTTTTAGGTTTTGAGTTTGGGCACTGAATTGCTGCATTTAAACTTATTAATGCTTTTCACAGCATTTTATGCTTACTGTGATTTCAGCTGCAGCTGTTATTGGCAGATTTCCATATATATATATATGTAAAATCTTACTAACTTATTTGCAAGTTTGAGAATTATTCCTATACTTCAGGATTTATATTAAGTAATGATGTATACTGTATACTTTCTGTATACTTTCATGAAGTACAGGCTTCAGGGTTATGGAGTTATGACCAATACTTCTATCAACTTAGAGATTGTTGCTTCTGCTGTTTTTGCAATTTGAGTTGTTCCAGATTTTGTAACCGGTCTTCTCTTGCACCCTCTAGTCATTCCCAGTCTCAGAAAGCAGTGCAGTGAGAGCAGAAGTGTGGACCRCTTCAGTATTGCTGAGGTGGTCAAGGAGCTCCCCTTTGGCGTGGGCTGTGGCAGGAAATGGACATCTCCCCTGATGGAGAGGACCTTCCACGGTGCCATCTGAGTACTGTGCTACAAAAGAGACTSTTTCTGTGGGTCCCAACTCATACCTGGTTGACAGCAGCATCTCTGTTTTGGCAAGGTGCTGATAACATCAATGCCTATGTAATTCTCTTGAAGACAGGAAAAATCTAAATAAAAAACAAGTTGACATTGAGTTTTTTGCACTCTCACTCCATTTCTTTATTTTTTGTTGAAGTTGCATGTTTTCCTCCTGAAGCAGACACAAGAATTTGTGTAGCTAAGGAGTGCAGCAGATTTGGAAATTTATTTTTGTTAAAATTAATAGTTTATCCTCCACCTTGTTTTGCTGGGTCAGTGTTAAAACTTTTGTAATGCACCTGTCCAGTTCACCATATAGCTGCTTGTAATGACCAATGTGCTACAGGGTCAAGAACCAAGGGACAATAAAGGGGAAGTCCAGATCAGTCCTCTGATGTTAGTGCAGGTTTGTACAAGCTTAGCTTGCTCACGAAACTGCAGTGGCTGGCAGTCARTTTTGTATGCCAGAAACATTTTTTTTCCTTAATGAAAATTCCTTTTAAAAGTGCTCTTCAGTATTAGGACTGCTCTACAGCTTAATTTCACAGGTGCACTCCCAAGCAGTGTASTTAAATGATTTGCCTCCCCTCCATCTTTTTTTTTGTTACAGAGAATGAGAGAATGTTGTTGTGCCACTTGCTTACTTTGTAGCTGGTTATATTTGTGCTTATTTTATATGTTCTTGTATGTTCCGATATATACATCTTTAAACCAAACTGTGAAACATAAGAGGAAAAATATCTATCTTATTTTATCTTATRTTTCTTTATAAGTTGCCCCTATGAAACATAGTTTAAGAGATTTAAAGGATCTTTTAACTTCTGAAATAAATGAAAGACATTTAGACTTCTTTAAAGTGATATTTAGTATAACGCTGAGTAATTTGAGCCTTAGCTGAAGGAACATAGTTCATGTTTTGACCCTATGCAACAAATATTAAAGGATTTGCAACATGGTGAGAGCCTCTGTGGTTCTGAGAGATGAATGGCACTGTTGGGACCCCTTTGATTTAAATCATGTGTGGGAGAACATTTGTTAATGGCATAATCGTCTACTTTTGGGTATCTATGGTCTAGCTTGTTTGAAATATCTGATATCCTTTTCTTGTCTCTTAAATTTCAGATCACGGCCAAGTACGTCATCATCTTTATCACTGTGCAGTACAATGTTACCCATGCCACTGGTAAGATTAAATCAAATCTGTTACTGTGTAATGCAAGAACTCAACTATTTTTCTTTTTTAATAAAAACCACACTTTTGTAATACGATGGTATTCTCATGTTTGTCTTTTTACTCTTAGATTTATCAATATTTTATTTAGTAAAACATTCTAGTGTTTTCCTTGTTGCTTGTGACTAATACTCTGTTATTTTTCCCATAGTTGACATTGCATTAAAATATCATTTTGTAGCAAGAAACTCATCAGCTTTTCATAGAAACCATGAGAAGTTACTGAACAGTAAACAATTTTTGTTAGCTTCTAAATATCTTTTGCTTATTTCTGATTTATGCATATATTCATATATAGAATAGTACCACATCATAATTCTTCAACAACTGGTACAGCTGTTTAGAAACATGGTTTTAGATAACAAAATGAGGTAGATGACTATGCATTTCTTCCCCTAAATATGTTTATTTCTTCCATCTTTTGTAGCTGTGGTAGTAAATATTTGGCTGGTAAGCAGCTAGTGGAATTTCTCTATATATGTATTTTCATAATAATATTAAAACCATACTATTTCTAAAAATTTTTATGTGAAGATAAGTTTCTATTTCTGTAACTTCAGTTAATTGATATTTTAACCTCTATTGATGTTTTAAACTCTATTAAAATAATACATGCCTAATTCTTTTTAGTTTCAATGCACTTGTATGAATACATATTTATAATAATGTTTTTCCCCAGCCTTTTCGTCCTTTCATCACAATTTGGAATATATTACCCAAACCTTATATTAAGAAGAAACTCRTAAATTTATTTCATCATAGACAATTTTATGTGTATTCCAAGAAATTAATCTTCTCAGTATTTTGGAAAAATAGGTGCCATGATCTACCTCTATTCCATATATGCAACTGAGTTTCAGCTATATTAGAATATGGTATGGTTGAAAGAAATGGATAGATAATACAGCTCAGTGTACTGCTCTGAATCTTTCCTTCCAGATTTAGAAGCCTATCGTTTTATTGAAGGAAAAGAAGATACAGCTTATTTCATCATGTGCAGAAATTATTTTGCTACTATCAGAAAGTTTAAAATAATATCCTGTATTAATTCAATGTAGCCTCCAAAGATACAGGTCATTGGTACCTTTTTTCAATTGCACAAAATACCTCTCCATAAGAAAGTAAAATATATGCTGTTTTTTTTCTTTTTCAGATGACCAGAGTGAACATGTTCATTTTTATGACTATGGTCCAAAAGACATTGCCACTGTTTTCTTCTACATGCTTGTAGCTATTATTCTGCATGCTGTAATCCAAGAATACATATTAGATGTAAGTTTRCTACTACTGTTTTATAAACATACTATTTTTAGCTATCAGTTGCTTAGCGTTTTATCGTGTGTGTGTGTGTGTGTGGAGTGTATAAGCCATTTAGCAAGCCCTGTTCTGATTCATCCTTTTGATCTTTAACAAAAGTACAAGTAGACCTTGACATTTGCACAGTTATATTTCCTAAAATTTTCTCTAATGTTTTTCAGTAGTACTCTTTTAACATAGACAGATGGGGGGGAAAAAAGGGTTTATGTGCCATCCAGTTGCTTAATACTCTGAAGCGGGTAATATGGTAATCATCTGACAAATGGTCTTTGACATCCTGATGTAAATTATTACTTATCTTTTTTTTTAAGGGAGTGTTTTGTTTTCTTAAGCATTATTTTCCAGAAATGTTCTGACTCTCTTATGCTCTTTTGTGCGTAATCACATGTACAATCACTTGCTTGTAGTTTGCAACATACAAAATAAATGCTGCCTGATTTTTTTTTTTTTTTTCCTAGTGTTGTGTTAGAATATAAACAAACTAAATGGCATCAGAGCTGGTGACTTTAGCTGGTGACTTTTTTTTTCTCTTCTGTTTTTTTTGTTTGTTTTATTTGCATGGGGATTTTTGACAATATGTCTTTGAGCTTGGGATGAATCTTTTACTCATAAGTTCCCTAATTCTACAACAACGAATACTAAATATTATTGTCTGAGCTCAGAGTGCCTGTGAATAAAGTTCACTGCTTTAGGTTTTTAATGTGTTTTTAGAGAATCAAAAATAAAAAGAACTGTAGTAGGATGGATTCTTTTTTTTTTTTTTTTGTCAGCTAAGCCTCTAACTTAATCATGTGMTGTTTTATACCAACTCAATTGCAAGTAAAATAAATGTCATGACCGCAGATTAGTATTGCATAGCTTTGGAAAGACTTCACAAATAGGTCATCTGAGGCAAAGGAGTTGAAATGTGTAAAGTTGAAATGTGTTGAAGTGTGTGAAGAGATTTGAAGAATATAGCAATTTGACTGTGCTGGAAAAAATACAAGAATGCAAGTGTGAGGTTTATTATCTAAATGTTTTACATGTTTATTTTGGCAGCAAGTTTTATCGAACCTATTTCTCATATACAGATGTAGCAAGTTTTAATGAACCTATTTCTCATATACAGATGTGCCTATTCTRTAGATCAAGCTGGAGCTTTATATTTTCATTGAAAAATGTGAGATTAGTGAAGTAAAAAATATCGAAGTGAGCACTAACTGCCAAATAGTTTTTTGAGGGGGGACAGAATTAAATGTGTTTATCTGCTTTTTGTTGTAGAAAATTAATAGACGTCTGCATTTGTCGAAAACAAAGCACAGCAAATTCAATGAATCAGGACAACTAGCACTTTTCTACTTGTTGTCATTTACATGGGGAGCAAGTATCTTGATTGCAGTAAGTAAGTCACCCTAATTGCCATTTTATTTACAGCATAAGCTTAAAACATTAAGAAGATCCTTAAATCACTGACTTTTTTTTCTTTAGGAAGAATTCAAGATGAACCCAACCTCTCTGTGGAAAAACTATCACCATTCTCGTATGCTGTAAGTGTTTTAAAAACTGATACTTCTAATGATTGAATTTTAAACTGCCCAGATAAGAGACTACTAAAAAAATACTGACATTCCTACAGTGTAGGAACGACAGCTAGGTGAAAATAGGATGCTTTTTTTTTGTTTTGTTTTGTTTAAAAATTGTGAACTGCAAAGGTAATTGTGAACTGTAATTGTGAAGTCCAAAGGTAATTGCATTGCTTGAACAACAATCCAATAGATATTTGCATGTCCCTAGTTTTACCATGGCAGCTGACTTAAAATGAAAGTGTTTGCAAGATGGTATGTGGACAGCTGAGGTCTTTTACAATAAAGAAGCATGTGTAGGGGAGGATGGATGATCAAATTGGGGAGGTTTTATAACTTGATTGTTATTAAAATGCCTTATAAAATTGTTTTGTTTGCCCTGTCCCCTCACCACCAGGAGTGTGGAACATGGAAGGGGAGGGTATGGTTCCTAAAGAAAGGAGTCCAATCATTGAAGGGATAACCAGATTTTGTTTTAATGCTAGTTCAAAAGGAGATTCAGAACATGTAATCAACAAATATATGGAATTCAACATACTGTCCCTTTAGAGTTATTTTATGTTTGCAGCTCCTGTGATTTTGAAATCTTATTATATAATTGGTCAGAATGAGTTATTTTAAGATAATGAATTAAAAACTTGTATATCATGTTGAAAGCTTGAACAGTCTTGTTTGTTTTCTTCATTTGAATTATTGTTTAGTTTTCAGGTAAAATTCTTCTATATTTGCCAGATTGCCTATTGGCTTCATGCACTTCCAGAGCTCTACTTTCAAAAGGTCCGAAAGGTACGAAGTGAAGTCCTCACTACAGTTAATGAAATACTATCCAATTATTCATATTAACAGTTTTGTTTATAATAACTAGATAAATTTTTAAATATTCATATTTGTATATTATGAATTCATATTATCAGATGTTTATCTTTTATTGATATATTCTAATTTGCTTTTAAATTTTAATTGTTTGTATTTGCTATTATATTTAGTCTGTCGGACTAAAATGTGTGTGCAGTATCTATGGATGTCAAATTGGATATACTTCCAACGATTTATACAGTAATGAGAAAAATAATCAATATTAATTACAAGCTTTTTCTTTGAATAACATATAATATACTGTTATAGTTCAACTAATTTCTCTAATTCTAGGAAGATATTCCAAGGCAGCTATGTTATATTTGCCTTTACATTGTTCATATCTCTGGTGCCTATATTTTAAAGTAAGTGCTTGCACAATCATTTTGAATGGATTTATTACATTTTACAAAATTATATATATATATATATTTATTATATATATATATTTTGTTTTATAGTTTGCAGCATTTGGGACTGATTCTCATGGTACCTCACTACTTGGTGGAACTCATTTTTCATGCCTCACGCCTTTTCTACTTCAGTGATGAAAACAAGCAAAAAGGGTAAATCTTGCATGTATTAATTAATATTTAGAACTTTGGGTACTGTTTGCATATGAGTGTTAGCAATTGTAATGTATAAATGTATTCACAAGTATATACAAATATTCAGGTAGCAAACCTCACACTTTCTGTGCCTGTTAGTGCTTGCTTGGAATTCCAACAAGTCATTGTCACTATATAAAGTCAATGAACAAATACACAACTTCATAGATATCATAGTAAGGTTCTGTTTAGACTTTTGTTAAGGTCTCATCTGAATTTGTGTCAGTTGCTTCAGATCCTGCAAGTTGCTATTTGCCTAAGTGTTCATAAATGTATGTAGGGACACTTGTTTTTAAAACAAACCAACCCAAGAATAAAATGAGCCTGCCCTATAAGTTTTTTTTTTTTTTCAAGGCTTTCCCTCACTCTTAAGAGCAAGAACAGGTAGTATCTAAAGTGTAAATGATAGCATCTCTTCAATAATATATCTGTTAAATAATATTTTCAACTATTCTAGAAAGGACAGGTATAAACATAATATATCTTTAAGGAAAGGAAGGAGATACGTTGAGATACGTGTAAGGCATTTTAAGAATGGTTGCGTTCATTTCACCATCTGAATTTGAATTGCCTGCTTGAGCAGGAAGGTTGGACTAGATGATCTGTAGAGGTCCCTTCCAACCTTAAATATTCTGTGAATCTGTGAATCTGTGAATGAAAGGCTTTTGGAGATGCTGCTATGAATAAAACATCATCGTCACCTTTGGGGTTTTTTAGCTCTGTTTTTCCTCTGTGTGACTACCCACCTAGAAGAAATKATCATGCACATCTTCCTTTTATGTAGTTCTTTAGAAATAGTCACCCTCTTGAGGCAATCCAGTGTTGGTGCTCCTTCTGATCTTTTACAAGATCCATTTATGTTACATACTTAACATACTCTAGATTGAGCATAAACTCTATATTGAACACTCTGAGACAGGATAGAATGCTTTGGRAAAGACCGAGAGGTCATTTTTCTGCAAATATTGATTTATTCCTTTCTCTGTTATTGAGGGAAGTTGAATGAAAAGCTCTTTGTGCACTTAACTTGGTTGAAAATAAATGGTCTGAAAGGAGAAAGCACATTAATTTTATTATTTTGTTTTCAGGTTTACCATTTGGGCTTTACTTTTCATGATGGCACGTCTTTTGACCTTAACTTTATCAGTCCTCACATTTGGATTTGGTCTGGCAGGAGTAGAGAATCCAGATTTTTCCACAGCAGATGGAAACTTCAATGTACTCCCTGTGAGGTATAACAAGGCTAGTAGACATTCATACTTTTGTATAATGTGCATTTTCAAATTGTCTTTTAATAAAGCAATGCAAGGTGATAATGTGATCCGAACAGATTCCCTCTCTTTATGCATCAGAGGTGACATATTCCTTTGCATTTTTAATGGGAAGGGGAATTATATTCTTTTTCACAAAATTAGTGAAACAGACTATAGGGAAAGCATAAGATGAAAATACTTGCTTTTTAATAAATTGGTTATCATAGGATGATACTGTCACAGAAATTCTTTACTTATGGGTATAATATCATTTAAAGATATTAATATTGTGATTTTAAAATATTTTTTGATTGTGACTCTCCTAAAATATTTCATTTTTCAGAATAAGCTCATTACTTTAACATTCGCTCTTAAATTCTGTCCTCAAATAGGAGGGAAGGGTTTTGAATATATGTGATTTCTTAGTTTTAATGATTTGTCAGAAAAGGCATCTTACTCAGTTTCCTATCAGGCACTGAAAATTAAGATCATAACCCGTGGACAAACATGACTGCTTCTATCAATTGTATATAATTCCCATTTGTTTCTCATATGAACACACACCCCATCTTGGAATTAAATCTTCTGATTTTATCCTTTGGCTTGAAGAAAACTTTTATCTAATTGTCTCAATTCTCAAACTTTTTTTTTAGGGTTAGCTGCCTGACTGCCATTTGTCTAACACAAGCCTGGATGATGTGGAAATTCATAAACTTTCAGCTGAAGAAATGGAGAGAGCATATTCAGAACCAGATTCCTAAGAAAAAAATAACTAACACAAAGAGCAAACCAACAAAAAGGGAATCAAACAGAGGTCAGTGACATAATGTTCTTAAGCTATTTCTAGTCTAAATGTTTTTATACAGAATATATCTAACTTGTTTTTTAAAATCACATCTATATTTTGATATGTAGAGAATATAGATAACACTACAGCTTCTTTGAAAGCTGGAAAATATTCTTTTATTCCATATTACTGGAAAAACAGCACATTGTGTTTAGTGTTAGTGCTGAAGAATCCCGAGATATCTTCAGGACTAGTGCTATGCATTGAACTGTGTGTGAATCTAAATGTGAGGAATGTTTCTAAGGAAATAAATTGATATGTATACCACATTGTACTTCAAATGAGCATTTGTTGGTCAAGAGATTTTCTAAAGTCAGTATTTTTTTCTGCAAACTTCAGTTTAATGCCCTGCTGCAGCCAAGGTTTGTGGTGTCTGTGTGTTGTTGTTGTGTGTGTGTGTGTGTGTGTGTGTGTTTTTTTTTTTTTTTTTAAAGCTGGCTGGGATGTGCCATTGTTTAAATCGCTCTGTGCATCTACATCCTGAAAATTGGATGTGCTTTTGGTGACCCCGTCTGAAAGGCTAACACCAGAAAAATACAAAAAAAGATGACAGTAAAAGGAGAGTTTAAAAATCACCTAGCTTGGAGAGAAAGTGGCTGACAGGAGATATGATGGAGTTCAAAAACCTTAAGTGATTTGAACAGGCAAATAACCAAATGACTGTTTGCTATTTCTCATAGCATAAGGCTAGAGGATTTTCAATGAAATTATCAAATGGTACATTTAAAACAAAAGGAGAAAGTAAAACACAGAACTCATTTCCTCAGAAGTTCGCAAATGGTATTTCTTAAGAGATTTAGTAAGGTACTAATAAAGAGATTTAATTCCTGAGAGTTCAGCCTGTCAGTAGGTAATATTAAAGCAGTGGTTTAAGAGTGATTTCTTGAGGCCTAAATTGCAAAACTCTGAATTTTCTGGAACTTCAGGGGAATTATGTTGGTTGAACTACTTTATTTGTGCTGTATATATTGTTCCTGAAACCTCTGCTACTAGGTATTTATGGAGGAAATGCACTGAACTTAAAACTAACTTCTGTCTAACCTCCATTCTTATCAGCTTTGTATGAAGTTCTTCATTTTAGGTGTCTGACTAGATGTTACTTAGATGCTTAAGTATTTTTGAGATGCTAGTCTAATTTCAGTGTATTTATTTTTTAATGTTAAGTTGTGTTTCTTCTTCCTGTAATTTAATTGTCTCTTTTTAAAATTACAGTYAACTTTGTTAATGGAGTGGCAAAGTTGGAAGATGGAGCGTCACTACGAATAAGAAAAATGAAACCAATATAAACTAATTTAACAGAAGACTGTGACTTTAAAACTTGATCCTGCAAAACTCTTATTTGGATATTATATAAATGGACACTATCAGGTTAATTTAAAACATTTCTCTCATTTAATAACTTGCATTTGTGACAACACATCATCTTTAATCAAGGTTAACTTAAGGGCCTTGAAATTTCACTTTTCTTTGACAAGAAAAACAGACGAAACTTTGAATCACTGGCTCTGTGATCAGAGTGCGATCAGAAATTACCACATTTCTATAATATTTGCATTAGAGACAYTTCAGGATTCTGTTTTCATTTAAAGACTGCTTTCATTTAAAACTGTTTCTGGAAATATTGCGGTATAATTATTTTACAGATATGTAGATGGTTCCATTGAATATACAAATAATGAAGATGAGCAGATTGGTGAAACAAAGTATTTCATTGGCAGAAGAAATAAGCGTATATGCCTTTGGAAGTAAAATGAATTGAGTCAATTCTTTTGTTTGTTTTTTTTATTAGTATACTAAGAGATACTGTGCAAGTTSAAATGGGAAATGATTCTAAGGCAGAGATGCGTGGTGAAGTTGCCTTTAAATTTCACATCGTTCCTTTCTGACTTAGTGGAAGTGAATTGTCAGGAAAATAGAATCTGCACAGAAAATAATGAACTCACAGGAGTACTTTGCTTGTATGTACTGTAATGGACTCTCTTAAAATTTACAAGAATAAGACAATTCCATGCTCATCTCTGCAACTGTCTGTATTTAATTTCTTTCACCCTGCTAAGATAAAACTTACTGTTTTATTCCATGTTTAGATAAACCTCTGTGCCACATTCAGGTATTCTCTTTGTGTATTAAACTCAATATTTTATAAGGAAGATCTGAGACATAGGGAGAGTAGCTCTGAATTCTCAAGTCTTGTCAGCTTTTAAATTACAACCTTTGGGAGCAATGCCCAAATGTCTAATGGCTTTGAAATGACTTTGAAACAGTAAAACCTATTGCAAACCCCTGATGCCAGGTAAACCCAAGCATCTGATGATGAAGTCAAAACAAAACGCACAGTGGGAGTCTCATATAGAAGTGTTTAGATAGATGGGATCCAACTAAAAGATAGACCTAAGTTTAGGGTAACAAATAGAATGTACTGCTGCTTTGTTCTTAAATCCCATTTTTGTCAAAGGGCTTTTTTCAAAAGTTTCTGGATGTGTGTTCCAGAGTGCTCAGGAAAGCTGCTTTTCATAGTCTGTGCTAGGGCCTGTGTAACACCTCAGTGGTTAAAGGAATGAAGGGGATGTTGGACTTTTCAGTTCTTTATTTTAAAGGTAGCTTTGTCAGTGTGGTRTTAGGTTTTGTTTTTGTTTTTTTCCCCTGAAGACAGAAGCTGATTGCATTTGTCATTTCCAAACAATTTTATGAATGTCAAATCCAGTAACAATCAAATTGGATGCTGACTCATTCCTGTAGACTTAACCGTGAAGTTATATAACTTATCTGAAGTTATGTAAAATTTCCATCAGCCCAAATGTTGGGGCATGTGTCCTATGCAATTAATGTGTCCTGTGCAATGAATGATCCTATCAAGTCCTTTTTATCTTTATTTTAAGACTCTAATTTATGCAAATTATAAGACTTTTAGAGTAATTGTATGTTTTATGTTGTCAAAATCTAAACAGTAAATTTATGTGGCAGAAGTCCTTTGCAAGTAGTCATATGCGCATCATAAAATATCATGCATCTGYTCTTAGGGGAAAACTAAAGTTAGGTCCTCTTATTTTTACCCCTCTTGTCTTCCTGGTGAGTATGAAAGAGTTGCTTTACCTTATGTTTGCTTTATGATTGAATGACACTTTTRGGCCATGTAGAAAAACTTACTTTACAGATTTATATCTTAGTTTTTGAATGGTATGATGCAAGTGMACAGATTGTTTCTGACAGAAACGTATCAGCTCAAGAATGCTTTTTGTTACGTTTTTTATCTCCACTTCTTAGGTTCTGAACTGACCRTCTAGCATGGAGTTGAGTGGAAGCTGTATAGTGGTGACAAGATGGGGACACTGCTGTTGCTCTTTGCCACTTSTGTTCAAGTCTAATAAATAACTGTTATGGATCAGAGTAGACTCTAAAATGTAACATGTTCTCAAAACTTTATTAACTCCCATCTCCCAAGTACATGTGAGATTTTCTGAATGCTCAGTACGGGGGAATGCTACCCAATTCTGTGTAAATAATTAATTAGTTTCATTATGTTGAAGTGGGGTGGGGGAGGCAATGTTTTGTCTGCATTTATTTCTTAATATTATAAGAACAGATTGATGCATCCACTTAAATTGAGGGAATCAATGTACAATATCTTTATACCATCTGAATGGTGACTTTCGTCACAGAAATTGGTAGGGGAGAAATGGGTAAGAACACYGAGACTGTAAACTACAAGTATTTAGGTGTGTAGTTTTAAATCTTTGTAGCTGAAACTGGATTTATAGACTTAGTTATCATGAGTAATGTTAACAAACTGATATGCTTGTAACAATTTTGTTACGATTATCACCTAAATTCTTCTGTAGAGTTGCTTTGCACTTAAACCAGCAATGTATTCCATATTACATTGATAGAAGTGTGATTTAGCAGATAATACTGTTTTGTTTTTAATGGCTGTTAAACTGTATTTTAATTTCGGTTAATTATCTTGTCTGTCCTTTTCTGGTTGAACAATTAGTGTTGAAAGGCTTTATTTTTAAAGCATTAGGAAAAGATAATTTGTGTAAATATCACTTCATCAAAATTATGCTTTTGTGAAAAGTTGCTAAAAATACTGTCCTTTATTTTTACTGAAGCACAACAGAGCGTTTGATTCCAGGTTTTTGTTGTTTGGCATATAATCCATAGTACTAGGTCTGTGKTTTTTTTCATGAATGCAGTTTTTGATTGGCCATATTATCCAGCTATGCAATTCTGATCCATCTCATTTTAGTTTAATTTTGCCTAATTTCCTTCAATGACATTAGATCATCTGTTTTATTATTCTGCTAAGTCAATTACTTTTGGTACTCTGGTCAGGTATGCAGATTAGCCACAGAAATGGCAGTCAAGGCAAAAGATATGTAGATGGATTTATTTAAAAAAAAAATCCTTTAATATTACCACCTATTTCCTCTCAATGCTGAATTTCTTTGCTTCTTATTCAATACCAGGAAGTCTTTTCTATTCAACTTGTATGATGGCTGTGCTAGTTGTAAGGTCTTCCCAATACTGGATATTCTCTTCAACCCCAATCAAACAATTTTCAATCAATCTGCTGCAAGCTATTAGCATACAAAACCATAACCAAAATAAAACAGAAGGAAAAGCAGATGAAAATTTTCTAGTCATTAAGAAGTGCCAATTCAGCGCCAGAAAGGCTGGAAATGATGTGACAAACTGTTATTCTGCTTAAGCTGCTTAATTCAGAGGGCTCTAAAATAAAGATTCTTTGGTACTCGATCTTTGAAATTCATAGTTTTTGGTTGTGATTTTGGATTTGTGGCTTGACAGTTATTTTGTTGTTTTTGTGTTKATTATTGCTTATTATTTGAGAAAAAGGGGTGGAAAATTACTTTTATCCTGGAATAATACTGAAAAATGGAGCATAGGAAATGCTCCATTTCTGTGGAGATGTTCTTGTGATTTCCTTGTAAAGCATTTCAGCATTTAAAAAAATCCAGTTAATGGATGGAACAGGAAAAAAAAATAGCCTTGGGTAAAAGCTCATATAAAGAGTGCTTATTGATCATGCTTAGTGGTTTTTTTCACAGAGTAAAAACAAAACACAAAAATAAGTAGGCTGAAGAAATCTTCACTTTCACTAACTCTCTAAATATAAAATGATCTTAGGAAAAAAAATGGCAAACAAATCAGAGAGCAATGCCCTGCAAAAGGAAAATATTCTTTTTGTGGGGAAGAATAATAGCTGATAGGAAAGGTTGAGTGACTGCATTGCRGTCACAGTCAAGATGAATGGCAGTGTCCAAAAGATGAACTGTGGGTCCTGTTTCCTTAAGTCAGTGCTTCCATTGGCCTTTTATTGACTGGGAAAGTGTTGTGATCAAATTGGATTTGATTAGTGCATTACCTAAATTGAGCTTAAATTCAGGTGTGTCTCTTGGTACATGTCTTTTTCTTTACATTTGTTTAAATCTATTTGCATGTTTGGCCGGATATACTACTTAATGCACCAGTAGGTGGAGCAAATAGGTGAAAATATTAAATTATACAGCTTTACAGCTATATTATCAGTTTTAGGACAATTACATTTTTTGTCGTTGCTCTTAAATTCTTGGAGCATCACCTATCAATTAGAGCAAACATTTTACTACCATATTCTTCATTGTATAAAGTGAGAGCTGCTTTTGAAGTTAGCTTAAAATCTTGTGGTTTAGAACAGATAAAAACTAAATGGCTAAAGAAGTTAAAAACAAAGCATATATAATATTCATACTGTTGCACTTGTGCAACTTCACATGTTGTGAATCATTGAGTCTCAAGAGTGATAGCTAAAATGTAAATAGCTAAAGAGCTTCTGATCTAAATGGAAGAAATATGAGTAATGGGCTGTTTGCAGTTCAGTAGTATTGTTTTTTTATCACTGTCTTTAAACTATCCCTCTCTTGCACATCCCCTGTGTTTCTTTTATGTCACCCTAACATTAACTCTTTTCTGTGATGCTGTGATAGCAAATCTGTCCTTACCGACTGGTTAAATTTGAATTCACGAGGTCAGGCATGCATTTATAATTAATAAGTTATTGTGCAGTATAAGGACAAGGTGAAATCTGAGGTGGAGCTACACTTGCTGGTTTTTCCAAAACACGGTGTACTTGGATTTCTTTTCCCTATGAATTAYCTTGGTTAGCAATGCTTGCAGAGATGATTGCAACCTCATAAGATCTTATATTAACAACTCCATATGCACTCAACACTATTTGGACTTTTCGTGGGGAAGGAGTGGGGGACCAAGACCAGCAGGTGAACTTAATGGTGCTACTTGTCTGCTCCTTTGCTGCTTGTGTCCTAGTTCGGTAATGAGCGCTGTAAGTTCTGCCAAGCAGCTCGTACGTCATGAGTGTCACTGCAGTAACGTTCTGCTCCAGATATTTGTTATTTTGCACTTAAACGTCTTCAAAAGGAAGGGGGCATTTCCTTAGGGTTGCTTTGAGTCCATAAAACTTAGGTATGCTATGATCTGCTTGTCCAAACTTGGGCTGCAAGAATTTCACTTTTGGTTCAGGAAATATTAATTCACTGAGCACCAGGCTTACTGGAGCAAATTGAGGCAGAGGTAGTTTATACTTTACATCTAAGGAAGATCTTTATTCTAGTTGCTTAAACTTTCAACTTTATTCAACACTTGTTATTATTTATCATTACTAAATAACTAAAAAACATTTAATAAAGCAGGGCCGGAGGGGCTGGGAGGAGGCCGCTCTCGCCCCSTTTAGCCCCACACGAGTCTCAGACGCCCCTTGCAGGACAGCGGCAGCCCCCGCGCCCGGCGCGGGTCCCCGTCGCGCGCCTCACGCGGGCGGTGGCGGCGGTCCTGGGTCGCGCGGGGACTACAGGGCCCGTGGTGCCGCGCGCGGGGGCCGGGCCGCGACGGCACTACAGCTCCCGCCGGGCCCCGCGGCCGCGCTAGGCCGGCCGGCTCCTATTTAAATCTAGGCAGCGAGGAAAATGGCGGCGAGAGGCTGAGTGCGGCGGCGGGCGCGACGCAGCCGAGCGCTGGCTCCGCTCCCAGGTGAGGCGGCTGGGAGGRAGCGGCGGGCGCGGGGCAGCCCCGTCCGCGCTGCTCGCGCCGCGGCGGGGCGGGAGCGACTGCGAGGGGCGCCCGCGCCGCGCGGCGGCGCCTCGGCGAGGGCAGCGCGGGGCTTCCCTGCCCGCTACAACTTGGCGGCGGCGCCGCGAGGCGCCTCGCGAGGCGGCGGCGCGAGGGCACCGGGGCTGCCTCTGCGCGGCGCCCCTTCCCGGGCGCTGCCGGAGCCTCGGCCGCTGCCCCGCGCTCGGTAAGTGCGAGGGGTCTCCGGGAACGGCGGAGAAACGCCGGGAATGGCGGGGCGCTGCCTCGCGGCGGCAGCGGAGCCGCTGCCGAGGGATGCGAGGAGCGGGGGCTGTTGTGGCTTTTAATTTTTCCTGAGGTCACAGACCGGTAACTGGACAAGGTGCTGGGTATAAAGGGGCGCCTATGGGGCTAAATGGGTGTCGGAGGCTGTTGTAATTCCCAGCGTCCTTCTTTGTGCCATCCTGAAGTTGGTTCTGTGCTGGGGGGGAAAGAGAAGCTTCCCGCTCTAGCAGCGTATCCAGGGAACACTGCTCTGAAATTCCTCTCTTAAGGCAGCATCTCCTTCCTCCTTAACCCGTTAAGGAAAAAAAAAATGTTTTGCCTTTAAATGATTTATCTAAAAGTTATTGCCGAAAAYGTTAGGTTGGATTTTGTCCAGAGTAACGAGACACGATTGAAGYGAATTTGGAAGTGTGACAGCCGGGAACGTCTAGTTGTGTAGCGCCTGTAACAGCGGTAAAACAGGCACTTTAAATAAGAAGCTTAATCCGTCATCGCCCTTGTAAAATAAATATTTTGTAGTAAAATATTTTCTACTTGCGGGGAACGGCTGCACATGAAGTAAAGGGGTGTGTTCTGGGTATCAATAAAAGGCAGCTTCGTAGTAAGAGGTCACGGCAGAAAGATGAGGGGAAACGGGCAAAACGGGGGGTGTTTTTAATGAGACAGTGCGAGATAACATGCACCGTGTGGCTGTAGTCCCTGTTAAATGTCATTGTAATAGGCTGTTTCTGCGCTACTCTGGTTCCGAATCTCATTCACCTCTGTTACTACAACTAATTTTTTTTTAATGTGGCAGTTAATATCAGTGGATTTGCTGCTGTGAAATGAAGCTAAAGATTGGGGGGTGARGAGGGGAAGTGATGGCAGACAGAATAAACCCAATATTCTGGCTTGCCGTAAGTACCTTGCGTGGGAACAAAGTGCTGCTTCCAGGCCGCTTTTATTATGGCATGTGATGATATGTATTTTTTTTTAATTCTTCRTTTTTAACCTCTGTTCATTTTGGGTTTTGATTTTCATTACTTGGAAGTTTAGACTTCTTTTTTTTTTTTGAGTGCAGTATCACTCAGATTCTGATGTGTAGTCAAGATAAAATGCAGAGTAGGAAGAAGGAAATTTTATCTACAGTAAAATGTTATGTTTTGATCATGTGCTTTCTTTCATTAATACCAATCAAGAAATCACAGCTAAAGCTTTCAAAATGAATTTCTGCACWATAGTTCCTTAGAATATATCTTATTTTTTTAAAGAACTCTGAAAAATAAACGGTTTCTTGGCTATATTTGTGTGCAAAATGAAGTCTCCATTGATAGCATGTAAAATGATATTGGACACTACAGTCTGACACTGGAGGTTGCTTCAACTCCTGCATCTAAATGAGCYTCCCTCTAAGACGTGATCTTGAATGACTGTATAATACAGGATATTCTGCATTATGTTAATGGCAGCTGCTTGATCATGAATATTTAGAGATATCTTAAATATTATTTCTCTTGTATGTTTTTAAAGCTGAAAAATGGAGRTGAGGGGGAGGAGACGAATACTATTTTCCTTTTTATGCTAAGGATATGAGAGAATACCTAAACCTGAATGCCAGGGCAGGGTGCCTGTTCACATTTTTTTGTATGTGTAAATCTGTTGACACTTTTAAACATAGCATACTAAGGAAGAGGCATTTGTGAAAGAATTTAACCACAGCTGATTAAAATCAGAGTGGAAATATATTCAGCAGCAGATATAATATGTTGTATTTAGTTAGGTAAAGGTAGATTAAATCCTTTTTCACCAGTGAGAATGGGAGGAATACTTCAGAAAGACCCTACTGCTTTAAAAAATACATTTAATTTAGCATGTAATTTTTATTTTAAAATTGACAGTTATCAATAGCCTGATTGTCTTTGAAGCAGAACAAAATGAGCTTGGCTCCAAACTGAATCACATGAGGGATTTTCAGTTTTCCGAATGAATTATGT